CCAATCCTTCCAGCTGTAGTTTAGTTTCACAGCTCTGCATACCACACATTTTCTAGAATGTATTTCAAGTTACACCTTCACCCAACTTTTATCATAAGCTCATGTCAATGTTTCATCTAATTTAGGTAGAGGAAATTCTGCACCTTTAGCCAAGTTGCAACAAACTTCTTTTATCCCTCAATTGGATTCAACAAAGGTCTTTGTTCCCTGATTGAATTCCACATTCTTTTCCTCTTTTTCTTGTCTTGATCTTGGCCATAATTCTAGAATCATTTTTATTGACCACAGCAAATTGAATTTAAGGTCCATGGAAGCATAAAGGATCCAATAAAGATTGGATTTCTTTATTCCGGTGCAAAACACTGAGGGTTACTGCCCCAGGGTTTGTTAGAATGATGTTCAGACTGTGAAAGGTCTACAGCCTATTCTTGCTTAGCTGCGAGAATACCACCCAGAAGAAATGCAGTCTCAGGAATGAGGGCTAGAGGACCCATAAAGGAGGGTGCCTACGCCTCATTCATTCAAAAGACATTTATTTGGCACCTTGAAATGAACTCAATGTTTGTGTCTCCCCCAAATTCATACTTTGAAACCCTAGCCCCCAACAGGATGGTATTAGGAGGCAGGCTCTTTGTGAGGTAATTAAGTCATGAAGGTGGAGACCTCACGAATGGGATTAGTATCCTTATAAGGAGAGACACAGAGCTTGCTTTCGCTCTCTGATCTCCACCATGTGAGGACACAGCAAGAACACAGCCGTCTGCAAACCAGGAAGTGGGGCCTCACCAGACACTGGGTCCGCCAGCACCTTGATCTTGGACTTCCCAGCCTCCGTAACTGAGAAATAAACGTTTGTTACTTAAGCCACCCAGCACATGGTAATTTTGTTATAGCATCCTGAGCTAAGACACACTTACCATGTGCCTGGCACTGTCCCACATACTAGGCAGGGTTGAGATACAGCTGCGTCCGCTTGGCAGGTGCTGATAATTTACAGCTGGTGTCTATTCTGATTGGTCAGTCATTGTTCCATGTAGGCTGTTACATATAATGAATATCATCCATGATACTAGAGATACTAAAGTGAATAGAATACATTTCCATCTTTCGGGGATTTTTGTTTGTTTTAATGATTTCAAGGAGCTATCTCTCCCTTCCGATCCCCATTACAACAACCTTGATAGCCAAATTGTAAACAGTAACCTAGGATATAGTTTCTAGGCTTAGCAACAAATGCCCTAGAATGATTTATGTAACGTTCTAAAACTGACAAAACTTTAGAGATGGGAAACAGATCGGTGGTTGCCAGGCATTGGGGGATGGGAAGGAGAGACTATAATGGATCCTCCCAGGGAGTTTCCTTGCAGTGATGCAACAGTTCTCCAGGGTGGCTGTGGTGATTTGTGTATCTCATGCGGATACACAAATCTCCACATGTGATAGGATTTCACGGACCTACACACACACACACACACACACACACACACACACAGAGTGCATGTAAAAACTGGTAAAATCTGAGTAAACTCTGTAATCTAGTTAACAGTATAATCCCAATGCCAATTTCCTGGTTTCGATAATGTGCTATGGTTGAATAAGATGTTACCTTTGGGGAAAGCTGGTGGAAGCGTACACAGGACCTCTCTGTACTATTTTTACAACTTCTTGTAAGTCTATAATTATTCAAACAATTTTTAAAGAAAAAATCATGTATTAATTCATTTAACATAATAATAGACCCTTTACATGTAAATAAACTAATGTCCAGTAATGTTAAAATCTTTTCATTTTAAGTCAAAATAAATGACTCTCCCTATCCCAAAGTAGCCAATAATGAACAAGCAGGGTTTGATGACTACTTAAGCTGTGCATCCTCATCCAGCTATGAGTCATCTTTATCTATTTTAACATGTTTGATTCAGAAAATTAGCATATGCAAAAATCTTTAAAATTTTGCATCCTCTTTGGGACAGAAGTTCTAATACTAGGAAAAAAATCCTACGCGTATATAGGTTCATTTATGTGCACCAAAATTCGGGAATAAGTACGTTTATCACAGCATAGTTTATGATGGCAGAAAACTGGAAAGAATGTAAATATTAAGAACAGGTAACTTTTTAAGTACATTTCGGCAGACACCCAGAATTGACAAATTGAAGACAATCAAAATGTTATTGTTGAAGAGTTCTTAGTAATTTGGAAAGCTGCCCTCAATGTTTTGCTAAGTGGAAAAAAAATTTTAACGGGGCATACAACAGTATATATATGTATGTATTTGCATAGGGAAAGAACAGATTATTAAATGTGGTTTTCTCTGTATGATGGCATTACAAATAATGTTTATATTCTTCTTTTAAATTGTCTCAATTTTCTAAAATATCTACAGGAAATACTTATTACATTTGCAATAAATGTAAAATGAAAAAACAATGCATATATTAAACCCAGTTCTTTAGAGACCAGTGTTTCCAAACTGTGGTGAATGAATGAAGTTTCAAAGACTTATTCATAGTGGTCCACGACTACTGCTATGAGAATGTTTAAGGTGGTATTTTCATCAAGATGAGAACCTTAACATAATACTATGGACATATCCTGGGTTAACTGGATGATCACGGTGTATCAGAGATGGCAATGCCCATACCTGCATTACTTTTTATGTCTGCAAGGTTGACAAGCCCTACTACTCTAAATCTTCCAGACTAATGAGAAAAGAAACAGAGTCCAATGTAACAGATGATATATCTATAGCTAGTAAAAACCACAGCCCACTGCACAAATTCCAGTTTGCAGCATTTCTAATAGAGAAGGCTCTGGAGAACACCAGGCATGTCAAACTCGGAAGAACTTGCCCTCAGCAGTCAGCACCCCATCCACCCTGTGACCAGTGACTAAACTCTAGCAAAGACTTAGTATTTTCAACAATAAGCTACTTAAATGAATACAACACAAAAATGAAATAGGCACAAACTCCCTACACTTACTGCTTTCATCTACGACTAAAACAGATCTACAAATTAAATACCATAAAATGAAAGCACGCACTTTAAAAAAAAACACTGATTAATTTAGTGTGAGTGTTGATACTCTTTGCTAAGGTTTAGTCATTTACCCTCCAGCCAGGTCTAGAGTACCTTACTAGCTTTATACACAATTCTTAAATATGGGTTAAACCAAAGATTATTCTAGAAATATAATAGAGCCCACAAAATAAGTGAACCTTCAATACACTTTAGACATGCAGTTCTTTGGTATGAGCAGATACACTGATTTTGTATCTGCCAATTCCTTTCTAAATGTCACACACACACAGTGTTGGATGCTAAATGTTGCTAAAGTAGACAAAGCCTAACCCGGTAGATAAATGGAGGGCGGGGTCCAAGAAATCTGAATTATATGACACTAAGCAGATTGCTCACCACACTGTTCTATCAGCTTCCCCATGGAAATCTGTCGAAAAAAGCTAATAACCCATGTAATACTGTACCACAGTTCTTACTTCCTTTTCTGCACACCAAGATTAAAGCACTTTCCCAAATTTTGAGCAATTCTTTCTTCTGAAGAAGTATGTTCTCACGAGTATATTGCAAAGATTAAACAACAGCTGAATGCATACTTTTTGCAATAAAAGATGGCATGTCGATAAATCACCATCTGCGAAGATTCATGCTACCGTCTTCTAACTGGCTTGGGGAATTTGGATGAAAGGGTCTCCATGCAGACTCCGTGTGAAAAATAGATATATTATCTGATTTTCTCAAATAAAGCCATTCCTCCAAATCTCATTATATTCTGGCAGACATTTCTTGGTCTGTTTTCATTTCTTTTTTAGGCTTCAGATGTATTTATCAAAGCAATAAACCTTTAGTTCAGTCCTGACTTATCACTCAGCCTTTTCGGCGTTCATGATTTTGACGGGAGACCAAGGACAGCCGTTTGAGTTTTAGGGCAATTTAAAGCAAATGTTTCTGTCAGCTCTTTCTTTTAAGTCTTACAAATGAATGATTCGCAGAGACAAACAGGTTTCAGCTCCCAGCTTTTAGTAAACCGTTTGCTTTAACGTAACGTCCACCGTGAGCACTTTGAAAGTCACATTTTCTACTTATAAAGGCTACTGCCCTGAATGGTTTGGCTACAAATGATTGGGGAAATTTCAGTGTCAATAACAGCACGTTAATCCCTGATGCTTTAGGCTTCATTCCCATAACTTTGTATTTCAAAAAACTACACAATTAGCTGATGGTTTCTCTAAAATAACAATTACAGTATTGTGGTTGGAAACTAGGTATACAATTAGGTACCCGGGGGATTCAGCAACAAATACCCCTAAACTGTGTCCCCAAACCTTCACTGCCTACTCAAGGTGAGAGAGTCCTCCAAAAGTGACTAAAACCCCCAAGTCTGAGCTCCTAGAGCCTGGAACTAGAACTCAATTTTATCCCAGCGCCTGAAGGCACTCAGCAGCTCCTTACCTCGACAGCTCATGCTGTCTGGTAAGGTAGCCATAGGCGGGCCTGGGGATCTGTGCGGGGGAGGCACCGAAGGAGATACAGACACACCCAGAAATGCAACACAGCCAGAGCGCCCTTTCAGCACCCTCAGGATAACGAAATTGACACAAAACTAGGTCCAAGACTAATGCCGTCAAGAGTCAATAGCAGTGTGCGCTGCTGTTTTTAAAAACTACATAGAGAATGGACACGTGGACACGGGGGTGGGGGGAAGGGGAGGGTGGGACGAACTGGGAGATTAGGAATGACATATACACACTACCATGTGTAAAACAGATAGCTAGTGGGGACCTGCTGTATAGCACAGGGAGCTCAGCTCTGTGCTATGTGACGACCTAGATCGGGGGGAAGGGGGGAGGGAGGTCCAAGAGGGAGGGGATATATGTATACATGTGGCTGATTCACTTCATTGTACAATAGAAACTAACACAACATTGTAAAGCAATTATATTCCAATTAAAAAAAAAAAACGAATGCATCTGCGGGACTTCCCCGGTGGTCCAGTGGTTAGGACACTGCACTTCCACTGCAGGGGGCGCGGGTTCTATCCCTGTTCGGGGAATTAAGATCCCGCATGGCATGGCCAAGAAATAAAAAGATAAAAATATTTTAAAATTAAGAAATAAAAACTACCTCTTTCCCATACAGGCAGCAACCACCCAAATATAAAGATCTTAGTGGAAATAAAATCTTAATTTCTCATGAGAAAGCAAGAAAGTAAAGATTTAAACATTGTAAAATGTTTTCTCTAAGTCCCCAAAGAGAATCTGAAGAAGACTCAGGCAAAGCCCCCATCTTGAAAAAGTCCACATTCAAATAATAGTAAGACAGGGAAACTACAATACTCTGAGTGTTCAGAAACGGGAAAGAGCTCCTTTGGCTGTGGGCCACTGCTTCACGGAGGGAGGGCTCGAAGGATGAGGATTTTTTAAAATATAGGTGGGGGCTCCCCTGGTGGCGCAGTGGTTGAGAGTCCGCCTGCCGATGCAGGGGACACGGGTTCGTGCCCCGGTCCGGGAGGATCCCACATGCCGCGGAGCGGCTGGGCCTGTGAGCCATGGCTGCTGAGCCTGCGCGTCCGGAGCCTGTGCTCCGCAACGGGAGAGGCCACAACAGTGAGAGGCCCGCGTACCGCAAAAAAAAAAAAAACAAAAAAATATAGGTGGGGTTAGGGGAAGGGAATCCATTTCAAGACTGATAATTTCTTGTCATTTTTATTTTGCATATGTCAATATCCTATTTTGTGACAATATCAAGAAACTTGTATTTGTTGCGAGTTATTTAGGTGATTTTATGTTCAACGAAGTTTGGAAGCCCATACCTTGACCTACAGCTCTGGTTCTCAAAGTGTGGTCCATGGACCAGCAGTATCAGAACCAGCATCACTTGGGAACCTGTTAGGCAAATGATCAGGCCCCTTGGCAAACCTATTAAGGCAGAATCCCTGGGGGAGGGGCCCAGCAATCTGTGTTTTAATAAGCTGCCAGGTGAGTGGGATGCTGCCGAGGCTTAAAGCCACTGGCCTGTAGAGATACCAAGGTTCCCCAGACTCTTCTTTAGTTGATTCCTGAGAATTTTTGATGAATGGGTAACTTACCAGTACTAGATAAAAATAAAGGTGAGATTACAAAATTTTACAGAGGGGCAGACCTTTAGAAGCATGCCTCCTAAGAGAGAGGAAAAAAGAGAAAAAGATTGATGGAGGACTACATAAAAACTGAAACCTTGCCCAAAAGAGTATAAACAGAATAAGAAATAGTAGGTTAAAATGGACTCATACAAGCCAACCCTGAAATTGCCCATCTGGAAAGGAGCAGCTCTGAGTTTTGAAAGTCATCAGTATGTTGAGATTGATATTTTCAAAGATCTGTGATTATTCTCTCAGGAGGGGAGCAACTTCTGAGGATTTTCTGGTCAGAGTCCTTCTGGAACCACGAATATTTTCTGTTTCCTCCGTGGCCTCTGTCAGCTCCCTCGAAGAGGTAGCTTTCCAAAGTTGTTTGACAATGTTCCTGTTACTTCCCTGCGGGCAGCTCTCACCTCTCCGCTCTACATTATTTTGCCCAGGTACCTGTTCACGCATTTAGAGCCATCCGATATGGGGCCAAACAGCTGTGATGCCTGCAGGCTCTTCTAGCAACCTGCCGCAGATGGGACCATCTGGCTCAGCCTGCAACCTGGGTTCTCTTTGTCCTGCCCGGAAGATGGCGACTAATTAGCTAAGCAGTTTAGCTGGCCTCCCTCTACTGTTAAAAAAAAAGAAAAGGAGCTGGATGTGCTGCCCTTCATGTATAGAAGATTCCGCTGGGAGGGAAGCGGGTATAATCTGAAGATTTCCTATTTCCAGTAATGGTGACAGATTGATGCTGAATGCTACTACTAGGTCTCCTAGGGCAGCGACCAAGATTAGGATACAGGTCCTGCCGGCCAAACAGAGCAGAGCTGCCAGCCCATGCAGAGAAGGAACTCAGCTCCTTGATTCCTCTATCTTGGTGCTCTACCCGACTCAGTGATTCAGCCACTTTGAGTAACCAGATAATAAGGAATATGAAAAAGACTGGTTATGGGCTTGGCAAGGAAATGACATTTCTAACTTGCCTTATTGGTTTATTTTTCCAACTGGAGATAGTATGACCAAGAGAAATGCCATCCTCTTAAGAATGCCTGTATCATGTTTGCTCCTACTTATATGCAGGAAGTCAAGAGGCCTAGAAAGGGCCAACCATCACATAAAATCCTGGGTTCTGGGAGACATTCCAGGTTCCATGAATTTCATCGGGATATACCAAACCGTGAAATCCAAACAAAAATCATTTGCCACTCAGATGTCTTTTTAATTATGCTACCAAATAGATTTCTTATATGCCAATTTATGTGAATGAAAAAATTGTCTTGGAGTTTTTAGGAGCATTGGGCATAAATATTAGGAATTCTGTGTAAAGAAAAGGAATAGTCTAAAATGATTTCTCAAGGTTCTCATCAACCCCAGAGTCCTACAGATTAACTCTCCTTTGTATACAATTCTACAAGCAAATGTGAATGCAATAACTTAAAAAAATCACATTTTGTAGGTACAGAAGGGTTATAGGAGGAAATAAGAAATTTAAACTGAGTTTGCTCTTACACCTTGCGGAATGCGGGCCTCTCACTGTTGTGGCCTTTCCCGTTGTGGAGCACAGGCTCCATATTCACAGGCTCAGCGTCCATGGCTCACGGGCCCAGCCGCTCCGCGGCATGGGGGATCTTCCTGGACCGGGGCACGAACCCATGTCCCCTACGTCGGCAAGCGGACTCTCAACCACTGCGCCACCAGGTAAGCCCTGTTCTTACACCTTTTAAAGGTTTATTAATTAACCATGCCAACATTTTACTCTCTCGTACCTTTAAAAATTTTTTCTCCATGTACAAGTTCATATTTTTTGACCAAAGTTTAGAGCTACCAGTTGATGTGAAATATATCAATACTAGACCCCATTCTCAATGGCATATTTGAAGTGGATGAGGACACGCTGAAAAAGCTGAAGAGGATTTGGTGAGATTTTTCCAGAGTAGGAAACAGCACATGGTATGTCGCCACCTGCTGGCCACCAGGCAAAAAGGCACGCCCAAGAAATATCAATAGAACAGACCAGCTCTTACAATGGGCATCTCTTGCCTGTCACTACAGTATGCAAATATTTCCTGAATGCCCAGCAGAGGTGAGGTTCCAGATAAGAAGCAGATTCATAAGAGTAGTCTGTAGGAATTATGATTATTCTTGTTTTGTGAAAAATCCTACTTATAGAGCAAATCTTCGAACAATTCAAAAGCACAGTAATTAGTATTTGGAAAATACAAAATGTTAACAAGGGTGATATGATCTTAAGATATTTGTCAATTTGGGGTTTCAAAGTTCTCTTATAACCAGGATGTTGGGCATCCTTACAATAATTGAAAGGTGGCTGGTGCATGCAGGAAGCCGACAGCAGGAGGGAACTCACAGGGCTAAGTTTGCTTATCAGCAACTCCATTTCTTAGCGTGTAACCTTGAAAAAATACCCCAGCCTTCTGAAGACACAGACTGCAAGTACGAAGCAGTGAGAACAGTCTACGGTTCTTCGGAAGAACACACAGAATATTTTCCATCAAGGATGGATGAAGGGATGAACAAAATGTGGTACATACATACAGTGGAATGTTATTCAGCCTTCAAAAGAAGGAAATTGTGACATACACTACAACGTGGATGGACCTTGAGAATGTTATGCAAAGTGAAATAAGCCAGACAGAGAGGGACAAATACTGTAGGACTCCATATATATATGAGGTACCTAGAGCAGTCAAATTCATAGAGATCAAAAGTACAATAGAGATTGCTAGAGGCTGGGGGGTGGGGGGTGGGGGGAAGGGGGAATGTTACTTTCATTGGAGATATGAAGTTTCAGTTTGGAAGATGAAAAATTTCTGGAGATAGACAGTGGTGATGGTTGAACAATATGAATGCACTTAATACATCTTAAACTGGTTGAAATGGTAAATTTTCCGTTATGCATATTTTACCACAATAACAAAAAGTTCAGAGACACCTCGTCCATGGTAAGTGTCAGGTGGTCAGGAGCTCCTAGAAGCTGTCATAGCTCTCATTCTCTGCTATGTCCCCGCCATTGATCATTCAACAAATGATGAGCCTAAGGCTACCCGCTAGGGCAAAGCTGCCTCCAGGACCTTTCCACTGGGCTAATAACTGAGGTGTGTATTTCTACGAGAGATTTTAACATTTAGGACCAATCTAACAGCCTGCACCCTGATATCAGGTGTGATGTCCAAGGAAACACAGGTCATGCCAACTAAAGGCAAGTTTTAAACTTTCCAGTCAATTTGAAGAGAATATGGCTTCCATTGCTTGTTACAGCTTTGCTTTAGGTAAGATAGACTTTAATGTAATAGACCAGCTCCAGGACCAAGGCCCTGACCCATATAAGGAAACACGATATAGTTCTATTATCTACTGGCTGACATCTCTCTCCGCCATGTGTAAACTCATGTTTTCCGGCAAAGTCATCGGCTTAGTGTAAGACGTGGCTCGCCCCGTATTATACTAGAGTCCTACAATTTTCACTTAATCATAGAATTAGGATTAAAAGATTTCAAAATAGTAATAAACTGGACTAGGTTTTATGAAGAGCCCAAGTCCCTGAGTAAATCTTGAGTAGCCTGGGGGGTTGTCAGGAAAGTCACGGATATGCGTTGCTCTCTGCAAAGGCTGGGGATGGAGGGACTGCAAGGTGGTAGAAAACGGGGTGGAGTGTACCTGCAGCATTTACTCAAGGTGGCCAAAATATCCTTTCAGTAAAGCATCAGTAGGGGTTGAATAGGATATTCAGTAAAGTCCTCACTCACATGAAGATGCCCAAAAATTTCACCGTAGGATTCTAAGATTCTATATAGAATAAGTGAAAACCTCAGAAGGCCTAAACTAGAGGCATCATTGCTGCCCCCCTCCCCCAAACCAACCCAACGAACAACAAGAAACAGAGTAGAGTTTGCTATAATTCTGTTCATCCATGTATTAAAGAATTCTTA